GTGGTCAACCTCATTAGTCAATACTAGAAAGGCTAGCACATATTTACAAAGGTCAATAGCAAATGATATTAAGGATATGAAGTAGCTGGACCTTTCACCATGCTGGCAGAAGTGTAAACTGGTAATAACCACTTTGGAAAACAACATAATAAGTAGAACTAAAAACATAAACAGTCCAGGAGAAAGTTCCAGGCAAAAACTACAAAACAACCCAACTGCCTGACTGAAAAATAGGAGTGGTAATGAAGTTTTCTAACACCAAATACGTAAACACCTATATCACAACATCTGGCACAGATAAAATCCACTCCATATAATGCAATCTTATCCCTTCCTAAGTAGACAAATGGATATTTGTAATTTAAAGATCAGGCTCAAAACACATCCCAATGGCTTCTTGTCTCACACACACAAAAAAAAACTCTAACAAATGATCTGTTGCTGCTCTCACACTGACTCATTCTGATCTGCTCACACTAACGAGAAAACTCTTCTTCAAAATGTCCTTCATACATCCAACAAGCTAATTCTCCAGTTATTGTAGGGTTTCTGCTCAAACTGTAATAGACATGCCCTCCCTGACTACTTACATAAGAGGCATTCCCTATAATTCCCTTACCTTCCCTTTTTTTTTTTAACCTGGCCTTTTTTAGCATCCATCACCAGATATTTCAAATGTGCCTACTGCATGTCTTCACCATTATCGTAATTTCCATGAAAGCAAAAACTTTTTCTATTTTTTTCATTACTGCACACTCAGCAGAACATGCATGGCATACAGTAGACACTCAATAAATACTTGCTGAATAAATTCTATGACTTGGATTCCAGGCTTAGAGAGAATAACAGCTGCTATATGGAGTTCAAGGCTGACCATTCCTTAATCTTAGTTTATCATGACAAATATGAAAATCCTCCAATAATTAAAATTAGCTGTTCCACTTGAGGAAAATTTTAAAATATTTACTTCTATTTATTCTATTTTAATATTTATTTCTAATTAATTACTTCTAATGCATTAATTCTCCAAGGCTCTATCATCAGGAAAATATAATCCACATGAAAATTCCAAGTGAGAATTACATAAGGCACTCAATAATAAATTATCCTAATGAATTTGCCTATCTTAACTATTATCCTATAAATAAACCTATGAAAACCATACTTTGTACCACCTTTTTTCATATTACAGTAAAATCTCAGTAGTTTCATTAATAAAAGATGATAGCATTTGAAGATATATACTCTCCCAGAACAGAAATATCCCCTTTAGCCAGAAACCCAAATTTGAACATAATGCATTTCTAAGACAGAATCAGATTTAATAAGATCTTAGTACAAGGAAACCTAGAACAGCCCAAGATATTCCACATCAATCCTACTTCAGTCACAATCTACACAGGGTCCCCAAGTAGCTTACATTTTTCTCCCAAATATTTTACTACTACCGATTTAAAAAAAAAAAGACATCCAGTTTAAAAAGTTGATCTCGATTTTCCTCCTTTTTTTTCAGTCAGAGAATTAAAACCTTTGGAAAACAACTGGAGGATGTCTGAATAAATTATACGTACCAGCTCTGGAGTATCTGAGAAATAAACCTATCTAACTGGGGTTCAAACCAGCCAAGAGTCACTTTTCAGCAATTAAAGATATAGCATCCCAGTTTGCATAACAACTAAGTTTTATTGACATAAACTTTATTAAAAAAACTACAATCTCATCCAACTTCACAAACTTTTGGGTAAATAATTGGGTTTTTTTTTTTTTTTTTTTTTTTTTTTGAGAGAGAGAGAGAGAGAATTTTTAATATTTATTTTTTTAGTTTTCAGCCGACACAACATCTTTGTATGTGGTGCTGAGGATCGAACCCGGGCCGCATGCATGCCAGACGAGCACGCTACCGCTTGAGCCACATCCCCAGCCCAATAATTGTGCTTTTAAAACAATAGTGTTTTCCTAAATAAAGTGAATATTTATGTACATGTAATTGGAACCATTCTGTACATACTATTCTACAGTTTTTAATGCCTGCATAATAGCTCATTATATATATCATGATTTATTTAACCAATCCCCTAATGCTAGATTTGTAGTTTTTTCATTATTCTAAACAAAGCTACTCAATAAAAAAATTAAAAATAAATAAATAAATAAAATAAACAAAGCTACTGAGAATTTTTCTTAAATGTCTTTTTGCTAGATCAAGAAAAAGTATAAGCCAAATCTTTAACTAACCAAAAAAAAAGGGGGGGGGGGACTCTGGGAAATGATTCAGCTATGCTTCTGTAAGTCAAAGTGAAAACGATGTCCCTTATGTATTCTTTTCCTCAGACTGCCAATTTCTTGATTTCTTATCATTTTCATTCAATGGCTTAAGTGAATAAACAAGGGACAAATAGGGAAACTCAAGGTAAAACTTCTTATACTCCTTAGGGGAATTAAAAAAAAAAAAAAAAACTTTGGAGCAACATTTCACCCACATTATTCAGCAGGCCTTCTTAACCAAGATTCCCAGAGTAACTTATGACCTAAGCCTACAGCATCCATTTTATGTACCTCCAATGTATATTAACTTATTATTAACTTATTCCTCCCTTTTATTATCCTAGAAAAAAACATGAAAATATAGTCATCCATAATTTTCTCTCATGGAACCCACATAGGGAAAGGCCAAGACCTAAGCCATATCTGACTTATCTGAAGGAGTACTAAGTGTCACATTAATATAAAGCTATTATGACATTTTCTCTTTTACATTCAAAATGTCACCCTGTTTCTCTAATACTAGTGTCTAATGTAATATACTCTTAAAACTGGGTTGACTTGGGAGCTGGAGGTGTAACTCAGTAGTAGAGCACTTGCTTAGAATATGAGGCCCTTGATTTTGTTCCCAGCACTATCAAAAAAATAAATAAAACATAAATATGGGTTGATTCTAAAGCCTGAATAAAGTCCCTCACAAAAAAATTTAATTCACTACTTACTAGGTAAAACCTTCCTGTACTAAACTATAATTAAAGCATAGTTAGCTATCCAAAATATTTTCTGGGATGATAGGGTCTCCTGTCCACTGATACAGATCCTTCTATTAAGTAAATGTAGTCTATTCAGTGAGGGGTTTTATCATGAACTGGGAATCAATTTACATACCCATGACAGACATGCAGACTTATTTAATGTTTCAAATAAACCTTAACAAAACAAATAATTTGGTAACATGGTTAATGTCCACTGAATTCCTTTCCCACTAGACTGTAACTGCAAAGGCAGTTGTTTTTCTCAAAATGTAACTGGATACAATACCAGCAAGCTGTTCAGAGCATCCCTTGAAAAGTATCCTTCCTATTTCAGTCACACTAACATCAGAATAAAATCAAAAATATATGTTTTAAGATGCCAAATGAGAGAAAACATATTAGTCAGCATTATGCACACACTTGAGGCAAAAGTAATTCCACTACAAGCCAAAGGCAATAAAACACCAACTTCTAAGGGTCTGTTTTGAAAGAACAAAAAATATAAACAGTTTAACAAAAAAGAACAAAGTTTCATGAAGAGTTCTTTCTTTCTTCTTTCCAATTTTCCTCTTTTAAAAAATTAAGATGCTTTGATGTCCTGTAATTTAAACACACTAAAGTAGGTGAATTTTTCACCCTCCCCCTATCTTGAAGTCACCAAGTTTAAAACCCAACAGTGGTACATGGTATTAGAAAAAAATGGCCTCCAAAAGGAAATCTAATGCAAAAAAAAAAAAAAAACAACAAAATAGGAATGATTTCCAGTTTAGCCCAACAGGTGGTTTCCAAACAAAGCAGGAATAAGGTTCTATGAAAAACCCCACCCAGGTAACTGAGTATATTTATCTATGTAAGCAGTCATTTTTATTCAGAAATGCCATAGAAAAAAGGTGTGCTGATCCTTATTAAAAGATTCTCAAGTCTTCATAGTTTTGAAGCAACTTCCTAACCCTTTACAATCCATGATACTCTCTCACAATAATGACATGGGGCATTTTACATAAATATTGCTTTTCAAAGCAAAAATTTCAAGACACTTCAGGTGGCAGAATTCACCTGAAATACCACAGAACTCGCAAGAAATTTTCAGATTTAAAAATAAAATTAACTGGGTAAACTTTTTTATACAGAAAATCAAAAATTAGAAAATACAAAACTTGGGTTGGGGTTGTGACTCAGTTGTAAAGCACTTGCCAAACACGTGTGAAGCACTGGGTTCGATCCTTAGCACCGCATGCAAAAAACAAATAAAATAAAGGCATGCTGTCCATCTACAAATACAAAAAAAAAAAAAAAAAATTAAAAAAAAGAAAAATACAAAACTTTCTCCTTTCCTGATAGTTTAAAACTCACTAATCATACTAGTCAAATTAAAATTTAACAAAATGACATTCTATTTTGTCAAATACTAAACCACCCAAACTGAGACTGTTCAAGAAGCATACCAAAACAAACATAGTAAAACTTCTATGTGTAATCAAATAATGACCAACAAAGAGAATACATTTTGGCAACATTTAGATAATAACAATATAAAAAGAGAAAGGTGCTAACACTTCCATTTACAGTGTTCCCCCCCCCCAAAAAAATATTCCTACGCACTCTTTGCACGCATTTAACTCAAAAACTCAGTTTTAGGTACAAGCTAAAGAGACTGTCACATCCCTCCTTCCCATCCCTCCCCGCTGCTCGAAGGTCAAAGGGCTCCAGACAAAAGACAACAAACGCACGTGACAAAAGTTTCTCCCAACACTTCTCTCAAGGCCTAGAGCCAGTGCTCCTCTCGCGTGCAGGCTCAGGAGAGAGCTAAGCCCTGCTCACGGGGTTGCGGCCCAAAAAAGGCCAGAACAGGCCGGCTGGATGACTCGGCCCCCAGCCCCCGGAACCGGGAGCGGGGCACCTGCAGGGCGCGGGCGCCTCCCGAGACCGCGGCGACAGGCGGAAGCGCGGGGCAAGGGCCGGGGCCGGAGCGCGGCCTGTTACCTTTTCCTGCTCCTCGCGGAGCCGCGCCACCTCCGGGGCACGCAACGGCGCCGCGGCCGAGGCCGAAGCGTGGGATTCGGAGTCGGACGGGGCCTCCATGAACGGGGCACCCGGGGCCTCAGCGGGGCGAACGAGTCCTAAACAAGTGTTTATGGAGGCGGCGTGGCCGGCTGCTGCCCAGAGCCCTCGTGCTCGCCTTCATGCACTGCGCGCCCGCCGCTGAGGAGGCCGCGCTTGTCTTCGCCGCTGCCGCGGGGGCCGCTGCTCGCGTCCGGACTGCCCGCGGCCGCATCTCACACACGCATGCCGCCCGCTAACGCCGCCGCCGCGGGCTGGGAGCAGCAGGCCCGCAGCCGAGAGCGGAAGGCGACTCTTGGGTGGCCGGGCCCAGCCAGGCGTCCCGTGGCGGCCGCGCCTCCTCCGCACCTCCCCCGCAGACCCCGCCCCTCGCCCCGCCCCGCGCGGCACGCCGGGAAGCGAACGCGCACCCCCACGCAGGCCCCGCCCCGCAGTGCACGTGGTACGGAGGCGCGCGGAGCTCGCTGGCCCCCTCCGAGACTACGCTGGGTTTGCAGCCCTTGACAAGCTTACATTCTAGGAGGTCCGGGCTCGGTATTCAGAGCTAGGAGCCTTTTACTGCCTGGTGTCCCCCGCACCCCGCGCCCCAGTCGTTCAGCGCTGCATCTGGCTGAAGGAGCTTAATTCGTTTCACTGAAGCTGTTTCACAAGAACATTTAATTTTAGTAAATTCAACTCTTTCCTGTGTCTTTTTAATTAATTAAAATATACAATTATATTTTGCTTATGCATTAATTACTGTACACATTCGAATTTTTCCTCATGTATATTAAGCTGCTACACTAATATTACAGTGTTACCATATACGGACTATTAAAGAGATTTTTTTTCAAGAGTAGCTTTGCCTGAACTTTTCCTTTTATTTTAAAACTACAGTGCCCTATTGCTCCTCTAACCCTTTGTACAGCCTCTGTACACAGTAGGCCTCCGATTAACCTTACTGAATGGAACTGACCTTGTCCTAATCCCTCTCCAATCCCTAACAGTAGTGATGGGTCCTGTTCCTTCAGCGTTGTAAAATGGGAAAAGACTGGGAGGTGCATACAGAGTTTGCAAGCTGATGTGTGTACTTGCTCCTGCTCTTCTCTCTCTTCTGGCCAGCTCCCAAGTCCAGTTCCAACCTTTTTCCCTTTGCTTCAAAGAAAAAAGCAAGGACAATTTGGGGGAAGTGTTAATTCCTGTCTCTTCCCCTCTGCACGACCAACCATCCTTACCTCTGAAGCATAGTGAGAATAAAACCACTCTTCAAAGTGCTTCCGGAACCACCATTATCTCTCCATCCTCAACTACCTTAGTAGCTATTTCCCGGAATCACTGCTTCTATTTAAACTAGCTCCAATAATGGACATGGGCAGGGGCTCACCCTACCACTCTACTTTGAGGTGCTAAACTGTATATCACATAGCCCTGTGTCTGTGAGAAGCTGACCCACCCCTAGCTTCAGGGGAAGGGTAATGCATTTTCCTTGGAAGTGGTTGATTCAGGAATGGGTGTGTGACATCACACAAAGGTTTCCAGAGAAAATGCTTCCTAATTATTTGGAAAGTTGTAAAGAATATATTCCTTGGCTAAGAAATATAAAACAAGTAGCCCTGCGTGTTTCATACAGCTCTCCTGGACCACCTAGAAAAGGCCAAAACACAGAATGAAGTTCAGTCTTTAGCCAGCAAAACTGAGAAACAGAACCTGGGTCCCTGATTATATCAGAATTTGATTCAGGGATGAATCAATCAACTCTAAAGTCTGCATTACCGCTGGACTTCTGGCTGAGCAAGGCAGTTTACTATCACTAACAGCCAAAGACAATCTGATTCACACACACCCAATCTAGTCTCTGCTCGATAGCCTGAGTGAGCTTTTAAAGTAATCAGATCACATCATGCTCAGGGTTAGAACATTCCATGGCTTCCCACTGAAACTGGAATCAAATCCAGATAGCCTGATGGAATTTTGCGTTATCTGACCTTCCCTATCCCCTTGCAAGCCTCCATACCATGTTTCTTCAGACATGCCAGACTGATTACTCCCACAGGGTCATTGCACTTGCTGTATGTTAGCATCCACATATTAGAGAGAACATTCAGCCTTTGGGGTTTTTTTTGTTGTTGTTGTTTGTTTTTGGTTTTTTTGGTTTGGCTCATTTCACTTAGCATGACAGTCTCCTGTTCCATCCATTTACCAGCAAATGCCATAATTTCATTCTTCTTTAAGGCTAAGGAATATTCCATTGTGTATATATACCACATTTTCTTTATCCATTCATCTGTTCAAGGGCACCTAGGTTGGTTCCATAGTTTAGCTATTGTGAATTGAGCTACTATAAACATTGACGTGGCCAGGTCACTATGGTATGCTGATTTGATGATGGTATAAACCAAGGAGTGGGATAACTGGGTCAAACGGTGGTTCCATTTCAAGTTTTCTGAGGAATCTTCATACTGCTTTCCAGAGTGGTTTCTCCAATTTGCAGACCCACCAGCAATGTATGAGTGGACCTTTTCCCCCACATCCTCACCAACATTTATTATTACTTGAGTTCTTAATAATTGCCATTCTGACTGAAATGAGATGAAATCTCAGTGAAGTTTTAATTTGCATTTCCCTAATTGCTGGAGATGTTGCACATTTTTTTATGTTTGTAGGCCAATTGTGTATCTTCTTCTGTGAAGTGTCCAGATTCTTTGCCCATTTATTGATTGGGTTATTTGGTGTTAAGTTTTTTGAGTTATGCCACAGTCTGGCTGGGTACAAATCACGAGCCATTGAAGCAGGAACAAACTTTATTTCTGAACTCCACCAGCACACTCCATACATGCTCCCCAGGAATTCCCCCAACGCCATGCGGCTCCTCCAGGAACACACCACATCAACTGGAAATCCCTCCTCTGGAAAATCCCTCCTCCTGCACTTCCCCAACCAAAGGGAACTCTCCAGGCCAAGGCTGATAGCAGGGGTCTAATATGCAATTGAATACACAGCTTAACATAACCATTATCATCTCAGTGGCTTGCTGGCCTCTCAACCACTCAACCACTTGCTCACCTCTCAACCACTCTGTTTTGGCAAAAATGCCGTTGGTCATTCCGACTCAGCTATGGCTCTCAGCAGAGTTATTTATATATCCTTTGCACATTTATTGATTTTTTTTTGGTGTTAAGTTTTTTTGAGTTATTTACATATCCTGGAAATTAATGCTGTATCTAAGGTGCAGGTAGCAAAGATTTTTTTTCCCATTCTGTAGGCTCTCTGTTCACATTCTTGATTTGTTTCCTTTGCTGTGAGGAAGCTTTTTAGTTTCATTCCATCCCATTTATCCATTCTTGATTTTACTCCTTGCACCATAGGAGGCTTGTTGAGGAATTCAGTTCCCAACATGATGGAGATTTGGGCCTACTTTCTCTTCTAGTTCTATCTGCAATTCTTCTCCCAGATCTTTACCTTATTGATGACTTTTCTTCACTGAGGCCTCAGTTCAAATAAAGAAACTTTCCTGATATTCTTTCCACAGAAACCCCTCCCTTCTCCTCTAAACATCCACTGTTACCTTACTATTTACATTTTCTTCATAGCACTTATCACTTTAAAATGATCAGCTATCCTCTGTCCCCATTTGATTATCCATTAGGGAAAGGACTTAGAAGACATTCAATGTGCTTTCACTAAACCAGAGAACCTGGCCTTATCATGCTGCCTCAGCCTTTTCCAAGACTCTTCTTTGTGGTCTCCTGCTAAGTACCAAATGCAGACCCACCAGATGTTCTATTTGAACAGCAGAAAACAAACCAGGCTGTGTTAAATGTTTCATTTAATATAAGAATGTCAAGTGTGGCAGAAAAAGAACTCGGACTCTCAGAACAAAGTTCTTGTCCCATCTCTGCCACTTATCTGCTGAGAAGACTTAGAAAAGAACCTCAACCCTCTCTGAACTTCATTCATCTTTACAAAGAATATTAGAACAATGCCTGCCCCAGAGTTTTCCTAATAAAGACCCATCACAAATATAAAAGCCCACAGATAATGGCTTTAGTCTTCTAGAATCCTTCAAATAATAATCAGTTACCCAGGGGAAGTCAGCTACCCCAAAACATTTTTAATAATAATAAATAAAAAAGCTAATTTCAGAAAGTATTTGTTGGCCCCCTTTCCAAGCAGCAGGCCCCCTGCTGGGCATGAGTGACAAGAGATGACCAAGACCAGCACCAACCCTATTTATGGATCTTTGACTCATGGAGAGCCACAGACCTTGGAGGAAATGCTGACAATTTTTGCCAAAGATTCATTCTTACTCCCGATGTCAGAAGAAAATGGTCCCCTCAACATCCTTTTGGATAAGTTTGATCACTTTATTCCTTAACTATGTGGGTTTTTTTTTTTTTCCTGTATGTGTCAATCTCTCCCCCAAAGGGTAGAGATGAAATCTTCCTCAAAACTGTAAAATCCATAGCACTAAGCATGGGGCCTAGATTTTACTACCTCTCAGATTATAGTGATAGAAATTCAACTGAAAGCGACTGTGCAAAAAAAAAAAAAAGCACAGCAGGAAACTCTAAAGGATCATTCTATTCATTAAAAAGTCATTAGCTGGGGATGTGGCTCAAGCAGTAGCATTCTTGCCTGGCATGCGCAGGGGCCCTGGGTTCAATCCTCAGCACCACATAAAAATAAAATAAAAGATGTCCACCGAAAACTAAAAAATAAATATTAAAAAAAAAATTCTTTCTCCCTCTCTCTCTTTATTAAAAAAAAAAAAAAAGTCATTAGCTGGGAAAACACAAACACTCAGAATCAACTATTTTGAAACTCTGGAATTGTCATCAGACACTTATAAACACCCAGCGGAATGCCTGATCAAGAAAGAGTCTGCTATTGTTTCTAAGAGAACAGTAGAATAAGATGTAAATCATGCCACTCTTCAGCCCCAGCCCTACCATGGAGCTGTAGGAATGGTGTTCTTAGAGTGCCTGAGTGATGTCAAGGTAGGCAATAAGATCCATATCCTCCAAAAACTTGGACTTGTGCAATTGATTGGTCTAGCCATTTCCTTGAAAGACTGTGTAAAAACCTCTGTCTTGATTTCATCCTTCTCTGGCTTCCCATAACAACATCTACTAGAAGATTTAAATGGAAATACCATTGTGGAACCAGATATCTAAGAAAATTTTTGTCAGGTCACTGAACTGCTGAGATAATAGAACAAAAAGTTCAATGGCCATACAAAACAAGGACTACATACTTTGCAAATTATAATTTGAAAAAAGTCACTAAACAGATGGCTGAAGTCTTTAACAAACAAAAATTGGCAATTTGTGAGAATTAA